TGTTTGGTAATTAAGTTGGCTGTGAATTATGCCATTCCTAAGTCCATTTATGCTGAGTTAAATATTGTATCTCCGACCATGGCTAGTAAACTAAAGCTAATGTTTTGATTCTCCATTTTCTCTCCTGTGTGCTGATCAACTCCCTTTAAGATCAAGGGACCAGAGTGACTCAAGATGCAATTTGTTCCTGTGCATGGGAAATGCCCAGGAAACAAAACAAAGTTGTCACAGCTGCCTAAACAAGTGGCACCAGCCTGCAAAAGCCAGTGTGAACCAGGTCTTTAACCAGTAGATGTAGAAATTTTGCAGGTAACCAGCAGGAGGTGTGACAATCCATACATGCTGGGAGATACCACAGCCTCATCCAGACTCCGGCCTTGCTCTATCACACATGACCAAAAGCCTGCTAAATAGCCAAAAGAACCCATCACACCCATTGTCTCTGCTACCTTTCAATATCTGTGCTACCTCCTCCTCAGGTTACTGTGATCCTAAAATAGGAAAAATCTTACTCCCCTTCTCCAAGATGTCAGGAGTCAGGTACCATACTATGTCTCCAATCTGAGACAGAAAAGGCAATTTCAGGTCTTTGATAGCCCCTTCTGGGAATCAGTCGCTCCCTGGCTTATTCCTCTCTTGAGCTACTAACAGCAATTTTTGCCTTAACATCAATTTTGATTTTTATTAATTGTGTCTTGCATTTTAGATAATTTTTTTTTGGGGGGGGTCTGGTCGTGGGGCCTGAACACTGGGCCTGGACACTGTCCCTCAGCTCTTCAGCTTAAGGCTAACGCTCTACCACTTGGGCCACAGTGCCACTTCCGGCTTTTTTCTTTTTTCTTATGTAGTACTGAAGAATCAAACCCAGGGCCTCATGCGTGCAAGGCAAGCACTCTACTACTGAGCCACCTTCCCAGCCCTGCGTTTTAGATAATTATTGTCATGGAAAAAGAAGGACCTTTACCAACCAAACTGTCAAGCAGATGCTTCTTGGACAGTACCCGGCAGGGACCCCTGACTACTTCGCTCTTTTACAACAGAAAGTAGCTACAGAAAAAACAACCTCCATCCACACCCCTGGCCTGGGACTCCTATTTTTTATTAATCAACAAAGAGGGGGAAATGTTAGCATTATGCCCACTTTTGGTCATCAGCTCCACCCATATCTGAGCTCCTCCCTGCCCTGGAATTCTTGCCCTGCAGCTGGCTACCCCTTCTCTCCACCCAGACCCACCTGAGCACACACCTGCCTCATTTCCTGCTCCCCCCCCACACCTTCTACCTGAATAGGGACAGGTGCCATGTGCTCCCTCTCCTGGAAAATATGGCCCCTCTAACAAACCTTATCATAATCTTTCTCCAGTGCCTGCTTGCCTTCAGGGGTCTCCTGGGATGGACGTGAAGGATCCTTACTACTACTACTACTACTACTGCTGCTGCTGCTGCTGCTGTTGCTACTACTGCTACTACTACTACTACTACTACTACTACTACTAGACATAGTGCAGAGTGTACAAATTCAGAAGACCATAGCAGACCTGAAACAGCCAGTCAATTTTTGTTGTTGTTGTTGGTCATGGGGCTTGAATTCTGGGCCTGAGTACTGTCCCTCAGCTCTTCAGCTCAAGGCTAGCGCTCTACCAATTGAGCCATGGTGCCACTTCCACAGTCAATTTTTGAGTCAATTAGGAATAGGCAAACTCTGGGGAGACATCTAGCTTTAGCACACTATGTCTACTAGAGTCACCAACTCTGTTGCAGGTGTTTAGTGACTCATTGGCAATCTTTTCTCTTCTGGGAAGATAAGAAAAGTGTCAAAATTAGTAGTTGCAAAGGGTTGCCAGAGATCTTGGTCCTCAGGCATGAGTTCCTAGGAATAATAGGAGTGGCCACCAGATGACAGCCATGCACTCTGAGAAAGTGCAGCATCCCCAGAAATCTGTTCTGTATTCCTGGCACTGAACTTCCCACTAGGTGTCAGCAATGTGAACATAGGAGAAACCATGAATGGATTATGTGGAAAGAACAACTTAAATCTTTCTGTTAAATCTGCACTTTAAAATGCATGTACAGTAGGAATTTTTCCTCCAGACAATTTAGTATATTATTTTCTTGTAGGCCTTCCACACACTAATCTAATAGATAAAAATAAGGTTCACACTTATAATCCTAGCTACTCAGGAGGCTGAGATCTGAGGATCACTGTTCAAAGCCAGTCCCGGCAAGGAAGTTCGTGAGACTCATCACCATTAACCACCAGAAAACTGGAAATGGTGCAGTGGCTCAATCGGTAGAGTGCTCATCTTGAGCTGAAGGAAGAGCTGAGGGACAGTGTCCAGGCCTGAGTTCAAGCCCCACAACCAACAAAAAAAGTAATAAATAATAATTATAAGAAGAAGAAGACAAAATAGAGCAATCTTTTTTTCAGGGGAGTGACTTTCTTTCAAAGAATCTGGGGAAAATCATTGTTCTATACTAAATTAATTTTGCTACAAAATTTAGGAGCTCATATTTCTTACTTTAGGAAAAAATAGGGACAATATTAGCATTCAAGATAATATTATTTCTTGACCATTGGTATATAACAGTGGTTAATATAACAGTGTATGCCAGAACTATGGCTCAAACTGAGAGCCGAGCTTTTACATTCAAGGCTGCCGTTCTATCTTTTGAGCCATAGCTCTGTTTCTAGCTTTTTCTGGTGATTAGTTGAAGACTCTCTTGGTCTTTCCTACCTGGGTAGCTAGCGGTACAGACATGAGCTACAGTTACCCAGCAACCATTGGTTATTTTTATCTGCTTTAAAAATATTTGACATGGTCTCTCAAGCAAGCCGTGGTCAGAACACAACCTGTACTTAGACTTTACTTCTGTATTTTCTGCTTGAACTATTTGCATAAAAACTCACACTGAGGAAATCAGAACTACATCTAAGGTATGAATTGGTGTGCGTATAGGGATATATTCTCTCTATAACTTTCTGTCCCTTGTAGATATCATTAATCCAATGAGTATCAAAGAATCTATTTTGATTATATAATTACACTGAAGAATAAAAATTGAAAAATGGATTATTAGCAATAACAAGATAATAAACCCTCCATTACTGATAATATCCTACAATAAGAGTACAGGAGGAAGCTGGGTGGCACCAGTGGTTTATGCCAGTAATTCTATCTACTCAGGAGGCTGAGATCTGAGGATTGCAGTTTAATGCCAACCCAGGCAAGAAAGCCATGAGACTCTTAACTCCAATTAACCGCCAGAAAACTGGAAGTGGTGCTGTGGCTCAAATTAGTACAGCATTAGCCTTGAATGGAAAAGCTCAGGGACAGTGCTCAGGCCCTGAGTTCAAGCCCCATGACCTAAAAAAAAAAAATAGAGTAGCAGAGAACTATATAATGCAGAGGGATCAAAGACAGTTCTTTGAAAATAAACAAGGACAAAAGATAGAGGTAGGAAAGGTTTGGAGTTTAGGTAAGCAAACTTTGAACCTATGGTGGTAATGGAATTTGAACTCAGGATCTCCAGCTTGCTAGGCTTGCTTGCTTGCTTACTTGTCTAGTACTTCAGCCATTCCTCCAGCCTAGCTACTTAATGGTCTTTTTGTAAATGGAGTTTTTCTGTATGGGTTCATTTCAAAACATGAAACTCCTGGCCAAGGCTCCAGTGGTTCATGACTATGGTCCTAGAAATTCAGGAAGCTGAGATCTGAGATCATTGTTCTAAGGCAGCCAAGACAGGAAAGTCCATTAGATTCTTATCTCCAACATATCAGAAATGGAGCTTTGACTCAAGTAGAAGAATGCCAACCTAAAGTGTAAAGCTAAGGGAGAATACCCAGGCCCTGAGCTCAAGTCTCTGCACTGGCACACATGCGTGTACACACACACACACACACACACACACACACAAAGAGCCTCCAGATCTCTGACCTCTGAGGAATTAAGATCATAGGTATAAACCTTTACAATTCTATGCTTACTCCTGCTAAGTGCCTTTACCAAGTCATGTAGGCAAAGGCCTACATGATGCTATTGGTATATGTTAGAGACCAGAATGTATTTTGAATCTCTTAGAGGCAAACTTGAAGATAGAGTGATACCAACTTTTATCTAAGATGTGATCACAGAGAGGGTAGGCCTGCCCTCAGTATGACCCCAGTTGAATGACTCCTGTCATTCAGTTCTCCATTAAATGGAAACCCAGACTAAACGAGAATTAGAAGTTAGGAACTGTAAAGAAAATTAAGACATTTTTAGTACAATGATTTTGTTGTCCAGTAAAGATACACTTTAGTGTGTTTTATTTCAAGTATCTTAAGAGATATACAACACAATAATTTTCAGTACCAATGGAAAACACAGACTTTACTGTGACAAGAAGAGCAGAAATTACCTCTTCTGATTCACACAAATGATTTAGGATTGGGTATTTAGAGCAGAAAAGGGAATAGGGAGAGATTTAAGGAAGGGTGCTGTAGGAGAAAGGGTGCTGACTTCACACATTATGTCTAGATCTGTTTCCATGTATGTGTAGGCAATGGATGATGATCTTGGGTCACTGCCGATTAGTTATCACATATTAGTAATAACAATCACCACTAACTATACAATCACTACTAGGTCTCAGGCATTGTTCTTATATAGGTTTCTTGTTTAGTTCTATGCATCAACTTTGATGGTGAGGGGGCATTGTTATCCTTCTCTGTGAGAATATCTTGCTGAAGACCCAAAAGTTAATAAATCTCAATTAGTATTTAAACTCATTCTTTTGGCAGTAGTCCCTCTCCACCTAGATCATGGCTGGAGATACACTAAGTGGTTGCCACTGGGAGTCATACTAGCTAATTTGAATGAATTAATAGGTAGAATTGGATTTAAGTATAATTAATTACATCCATATGTCCTACCCAAGTTAAGTTCTGTTAAAATTGCAACACAAATTTAGGACATTATAAAGAATAATTGGAAAAACAAGAATAGTTTTGAATAATGTCCCCTCTTTACTCCCTTTTCTTTTTGACTTAAATAGAAATAAAGGAAGAGAAAACAAAAAATAAATCCAAGCCCACTGGCAATATAACCACAAGCTTTAGCTGTCTACCTGGCAGTTGGCCAAAAAGATGACTGACTCAAACTTCCCTCTTGTTGGGAGGATGGGGACAGAGAGGGGTCAGCAGTACTTTATCAAAGTGAATTTGAGTGTTATCACATAGAGGCTGAAATCCTTGATGCTGCTTTGGTCTCTATCAGGTTATATAGAGTGATTTCTCTGTGGGTGTTACTTTGGAAAATTTTCTGTTTCCAAAAGGACAAATGAAGGGCTAGAATTTGTATACAGGTTTTACAGTGCAAAGCAGAGAAGCCAGCTTATCTCACACACTGTTCCCATTCTACAGGACCAACACACTAAGCTGTAAAATTAACAACATCCACATTGCATGAGCATGTTTTGGTTTTTTTTGCGCAAATGTTCAGAAAGCTTTTGAAGTTCTATCTGTGACAGTCTCTTTAGGTGAAAAATGTGCTGATAGTCACTATGGTAACCAAGACAGAAGTTACAAGAAGTAAGATCAGACCCATGTGACACAATTTTGATCGCTTATCACGTTTCTTCTTTTTCTTCAATAAGGTGTCAAAACCTGGTGTGTACATATCTCCCAACCAAAACCGTAGATCATTAGGGTTTTCCTGAAAAAACAAATTACATAAAGAATGTTATCAAACCATGAGTAATCGTGATCACAGACTGAGATTGCAGAACAAGGTTCTAAAGATCTCTTTAAGGTCACACTGTCCTCCTAGATGAGGCTTAAGGGCCACATCTCAAATAAAAGAAGGAAAGCCCTGGGAAGCTGCCCCAGCCTCCTTGCTGATCAGATATTCCTGGAGTTAATTTACAAATTTTATTCAAATTCATGAGGAGGCCTGCTCAATTTCTGTATTCAATTGCTTTCACGGAAAGCTCAGAAACACCAACTCATCTTTATGTCATCTCTTGGTCAATTTTTTTTTTTTTTAATGTATGAGCTCTTATAAATAGTGCATGGAGCCAGGTGCCAGTGGCTCACACTGTAATCCTAACTACTCAGGAGGCTGAGATCTGAGGATCTCGGTTCAAAGCCAGTCAAGGAAGGAGAGTGGGTGAGACTCTTATCTCCAATTAACCATCAGAAAACCGGAAGTGGCACTGTGGCTCAAATGGTAGAGTGCTAGCCTTGAGCTGAAGAGCTGAGGGGCAGCACCCAGGCCCCGAGTTCAATCCCCATTACTGACAAAAACAAAAACAAAACAAACCTGCATGGACATCATAGAAATAGAATTAAAATTCTTAGCTTTAGATTAATTTAGAGGCTTGCCTGTCTGCACAGCCAGGATAAGTATGCTTGGTAAGTTTTCAGCAAATGTGGCAGCTGATGTCCATGGAAAGATTAAGTATCCCTTAAAAAGGCCCATAGCATGCTTGTCATGCACAAATTTTGACTTCCTAAACAAAAACCTTAGTACATCCTCCCAGTACCAGGTCCCATTCTCCAAAAAGGTCTTTCTTTGTGGCTTCATTTTTCTTTTGATCGCAGAAAACTAGATATCGTGTTTCTTGGTCTAATAAGTCACCTACAAGCTCTACTCTCCATGCTTTGTGTGTGTGTGTGTGTGTGTGTGTGTGTGTGTGTGTGCGCGCGCGCACATGTGCGTGTACCTGCGTGCATATGCCCATAGTGGGGCTTGAACTCAGGGGCCTCATGTTCTTGCTTGGCCTTTTCACTCAAGGCTAATACTCTACCACTTGAGGCACAACTCCACTTTTGGTTTGGGCTGCTTATTTTCCAAGAGTGTTTTGAATACTGATTCTCATATCTCAGCCTCCTGAATAGCTAGGATTACAGGCCTGAGTTATCACAGCCCATTTTAATGTTCCCACTTTTAAAAAAAAAATTATTTTCAAGGTGACATACAGAGGGGTTATAGTTACATACGTCAGGTAATGAGTACATTTCCTTTTGAACAGAGTCCCACTTATAAAAATAGCATTTCTTCTTATCCCCTGTTGTTTTAGTGCAACAGATTCAACACCTGTGCCTACCACTGGGCAGGCATTAAGTAAATTAATAGGGAAAGGTGAATCAACACAAAGCCATCACAGGCCTTGTTAGTTCCCTCCTGGGTGCTTACAAGGGCTCAAGTGTGCTGTTCTCCCTCATGCTGACTCTCCAGTCACCAAACTGGCTTCACACTTAGGAATGCACTGCTAGGAAAGGAGTGTGCATGCACAAGGAAGCAAAGGGTGGATTTGGCAATACAATTCTCCTGTTAAAGTGGTATGGCTTTGAACTTCCTAGTTTGGAAAATACTCAAACATTACAATCAAATTTGGATGCTGTTTCAAACATCTTTATCTTTCATCTTTTTTGTGTGTGAACTAGAGGCCTGCATTTTGTCTGCAAATTCAGTGCTTTTTGTTCTCCACTAATATCTTAAGCAATGGATTCTATCTTGTTTTAAATTCTGTTTCTTTCTTTGATAATTAAACTTTGGATTTCCTTTCTCTTTTCCACCTTAGAAAATTACAGCCATTAAAAAACATAGAAATAGTCTAAGGCACCCAAAATGTGGTGATATCAAGGTTATAGAAAGTGAGTTAGGCACTCTGTTTGCTAATAATGAAATAAGGACGGAAGCAGCGGTAGAAGAAGTTGAATTAATGAAGTGTGCAGTGGAATTCTAACACAAACAGAATGTGTGGCTTCTAAAAGTTTTCCTCAATTAGGTTAGTGTTGAAAAATAGCATTATTAAATTGGTGAAATGGGGTCTTTTTTTTTTTTTTTTAGGTCCAGTTGTGGGGCCTGAACTCTGGGCCTGGGCACTGTCCCTCAGCCCTTCAGCTTAAGGCTAGTGCTCTACCACTTGAGCCACAGCGCCACTTCCAGCTTTTTTCTTTTTGCTTATGTGGTGCTGAGGAAACAAACCCAGGGCCTCAGGCATGCAAGGCAAGTGTTCTACCACTGAGCCACCTTCCCAGCCCTGTGGGGTCTGTTCTTGAAGGAAGCCCATGCACACATGGAGGATCTGCTGGGGGAGATTTGTGACTCCATTAATTCAATGCATACATAAATTTATGTTTGGCCTTCCTAAATATAATTGTTTAACTTAAAAATATATTCTTCATTGCCACTGGGATGACATAGTCATCTGTACTGCACCATTGTCATGCACAAAAACAGTAAAATTAAGGGAAGAGAACAAGAAACATTTGAGTATTTGTGAAATAAATCAAGACATTTTTTCTAACAAATTTAGAAGTCCTGATATGAACCCCCTCTGATAATCAGCATGAGTTTAAAAACAAAGTAAGAGAGAAAGAGAGAACAAAAGAAATATAAAGAGAAAGAAGGAAGGAAGAAAAGATGGGAGGAAGAAGGAAGGAAGGCAGGCAGGCAGGCAGGCAGGCAGGCAGGCAGGAAGGAAGGAAGGAAGGAAGGAAGGAAGGAAGGAAGGAAGGAAGGAAGGAAGGAAGGAAGGAAAATGGCATTATTATTGATGTTAGGGGAGATTGGGTTTAGAAAACTTCTCTGAAAAGAGTTGCCTTAAGGATGAGATACACTGAATCTGTTAGATTAAAAAATGTCAAAGGCTCTGGACCATAAGCTATTTTGGAAAGTGTACATTTGAGTTCTTAAAAAGTGTGTAGATATTGTCCCCTTCAAAAGAAAAAAAAGTCTTCAAGTGCTTAAGCTATGTATTTGTAACAGATACACATTTTAAAATGAAGGGTACATTTGGAAAAGGCCGGGCTTCCTGGCTGAGGTAGGTGGAGGCAAGCCAAGGCTAGTTTGGAATCCAGTCTTTTTAGACAATAGAGAGCCATTTTCTCTGCTTTTCAGGTAGTTTCAGGTTTTCTAGGATTAGGTAATCATGGGATTAAAACAGAGAAAAAAGTAGAAGGAAATCTTAAACTAGGCGAATGAGTTCATTGCATAATTTCCTCCATTGTTTTTGTTTTGTTTTGTTACTAAGACACAGGAAAATGACCAGAATGTCAATTTATGATGTTAAGTTATTGGATGGGCTTGAAATACATGATCATTGTTAAAAACTTCCTTATACAATGCCTAAGACAGAACACTTCATAAATATTTTTGAATAAGTGTAATAAATGAAATGTGTTAAGTGTCATGAACCTAAATTGGTTACAAGAGTATAAACTAGGGGAAAGTACATGTAGTCTTTGAAAATAAATTTTCAAAACTCTTTGAGCTTTCAGAAAGTGCTTGTTCAATGCTGTATCATTTTTTTGTCCTTTCTACATTATACAGCTATAATAACATTAAAATAGCCAACACTCAAAACAAACCACAACAACAAATCCTCCAAGGTATGGGGAAGAAAAATGTTCTAAAATCTGGTGATTTTTGTATCTAGTAAAGAGAGCCTGTCATCTCAACAATTTCTTTCAACTGATCTTCCTCATCAGTTGAAGAAGATGATTTTTTTAAGTCAACATACCTTCAGATGTCCAGAGAGGTTTGAATGCAGGGAACGTTTGTCATATTCCTGAATGGTCCATGAAGGATTCTTTTTTCTTTCTTCCATAGCTTCCTCCAAACTTATATCACTATATAGTGGGTTATTCTTCATGACTGAGGACATAGATGGGGGAGGGCTATCGGCAATAAGTGGGACCTCCACGCTGAATCCCTTAATTCGTTGTGTAGTGAAATTATTTTCTCTCTGTTAGGAGATGCAGAGACAAGACTTCTTAAAAATGTTCAATACTAGCAATCCATACCTGAAAACTTGCAGATTCTGCCTTGAAACATAATAGATTAGGGTACTGAATTAGAAAATGAATCTAGAATCAGATGTTAATGGCTCATATCTGTAATCCTAGCCACTCAGGAGATTGAGTACCACTGTGGATACTTAAACTGGCTGGCCCAGGTAGAAAAGGTTGGTAGATTCCAACTCTAAAATGTAAAAAGTAAGGTTGTACATGATATTTTGTTCAGCTTGGTCATTAAAATGTTATTTGACAAGTACAAATGAAAATACTGCTCTTTAATTCATCTAGTAAGATTCTAAAGAACCCCCCCCACCCCCCCCCCCCCCCCCCCCCCCGCAATTTCTTATACATTGCAATTTACTGGTTTCATTTCTCTCCATGCACTCCACAACTGATAACATAATGCTTAGGCATTTTTTATATGTTTTGGCTTTTAAAAATGTTCTCTTGGCTGCAATTTCAGACTGTTTTGAGAACTGTGCTAACTTAACATTTTATTCTTCCATGTGTCTAGAGACAATTTCCTATTAGATGACTCAAATATTGGCATTCAGAGATTTTTTAAGAAACTTTTTACTTAAGCATAACATGTGTACAGAGATGGATATATACAATAAATGTATAGTTCAGTAAATTGCCGCAAACTAAACTGAATAAATCCAAGATTCCATCACCAGACCAAGGAGCAAAACATTACTACCACTGCTCAGAGTCAGTTCCACCCCATGCTTGACAAATTGAATGAACAGCCGCCGCCGCCGCCGCCGCCGCCTCCTCCGCCTCCGCCTCCGCCTCCTCCTCCTCCTCCTTCTCCCCCTCCCCCTCCCCCCCTCCCCCTCCTCCTCCTCCTCCATCTCCTCCTCTTCCTCCTTCTCCTCCTCTTCCTCCTTCTCCTTCTCCTTCACAATTTTGTTCTTTAATCCTGGCTCTAAGACTGAAATTCAGGGACTGTACTCTTGCTAGGGTTATTTCCTCTACCACTTGAGCCATGCCTCCAGGCTGGATTTTTTGCTGCTTAATTGAAGACAGGGTCTGTCAGAGTTTTGGTGGCTCAGTGGTAGAGCGCTTGCCTTGCATGCCTGAGGCCCTGGGTTCGATTCCTCAGCACCACATAAGCAAAAAGAAAAAAGCCAGAAGTGGTGCTGTGGCTCAAGTGGTAGAGCGCTAGCCTTGAGCTGAAGAGCTGAGGGACAGTGCCCAGGCCCAGAGTTCAGGCCCCACAACTGGACCCCCCCCCCAAAAAAAATGTTTTCTGCCTAGACTGACTTCACCTCCTGATTAGCTAGGATTATAGGCTAGAGACACCAGCATGTAGCTCAGCATTTCAAATTCTTAACAGCACGAGTAAACTTGGACTCATTTGCAGTTTACGTAAATGAATTCATGCAAAGCCTACTGTTCTTTGTTTCACTTGACCTTCAGCATTTCACTTGGCTTTGATTTCCCTCCCTCCAGGACTACAATAATACTGTGGAGGTAGAACCTATCTAAGTTAAAAATGTATTTATTATCCCAAGTAATTTGAGATGAAATAAACAAAAAAGCTAATAGACTGATGCTTTATTTCTCATGGGGCATCCAAGGAAAGAAATCTCAAATGAGTTAAATTTTAGATAATTTAAGTTTACTAAAAAAACTGGCATTCTAGTTCTTCACTTTACAGTACTGTTTCAATAAATGCATTTTACATATTACTGCCCTACAGAACGGAAAGTTCAGTAGCAACTTTACTCTTTTGAGATGTATTTGTGATAATACACTGATGCTGTTAGCACCTATTGGAATATATAGGTCACATTAAATACATAAGCAGAAGTTTTAAAGTAGTATTATATATCTTATATCCTTCTGAGATGTCAGGCAGGTAAAGAAAACAAATGATATAAATAAAGCATTCACATTCTCTTGGGTGTTGAGTTTCTCCAACTTCTTAATACCTGGCTCTTCACATACATAGAGATCAGTGTGGAGTTTCTTTCTGACTTTAATAGGTTTTTGGTTTGTTCAAAGTAGTTTTTAATCCATAATACCAAACTCTGCAATAAGACAAAAGCTTTTTTTAACTCAGCATTTATCTTAATGATTGATGGCAAAATAAGTAATATTTCTGAATCAAGCAAAAACAATTTGATAAGAAATTTGTTTGACCATAATTCTGATGTTTTTTTTCCCCTTAAGCCTAGTCATTTTTGATCACTTTGGAAGAGAGATAATTCTTCTGAAATTGAAAAATTAGCTTTGTAGGTTACTTGCATGTCAAACTGTTATTTGGAATTCCTAAATAAAAAAATTCAATAAATGAGAGAAATAAAATTTGTGGATCAAGGAAAAAAAAATACACATATGATGATGTATATGGATTTGTAAAGACTAAAGATAGCAAGATAATTGAAGACAGTATTCTAAAGGAATATTAATTTTCAATCCTTGTTTCTAGATGATAGTCTTGAATGTTTTGAAGTTTATTCCAGACCATGATGTCATTTATTTTTGTTCTGAATGTTAATTTTAGGTCTAAAAGACAAGTCAAAGGAATTATTAAATTGTACTAACAATTTGATGAAATTCATTATTTTGTTGAATTAATGTAAGCTAATAAAATTTTCTTAAAAAGAATTTGCAACAATGAGAAGTACAAGTTGTCATGTCGAAAACGAGCTTTACAACGTTGGTGGGGGGGCGAGGGGGGGGAGAATTGGGTGGGGGAGGATTGGGGGGGAGGCTGGGAAGGGATGTGAAGGGTAAACCAAGGAGGAGCCTGCAATGCTTGATAAGAAATGTACGCATTATCCTGCCCATGTAATTGTAACCCCTCTGTACAGTATGTTCACAAAAAAAAATAAAAAAAATATTTCAAATAAAAAAAAGAATTTGATGATGGCATATATTAGCAAGTATAAGATGTTGGGTTCAATCCTCAATAGACAAAATTAGCATTTTGAGGTCAGGCTAAAAATATTGAATATTGAATTATAGTTGGGATTTATTTGTATTTTACTAACATATTTCAAACAAATAAAGACCACATATAAAACTCAAATCCTCCACTCTATTGTACATTATAGTTAGGACACATTTTAGCAGAAAATTTTCTGGCACATCAATTCCATTATTTTAATCAGGTGTCCTTTAAAACACATTGTATTTTACAACATATATTTAAGGAAATTAACACCTCAAAGCTTTACTTAGACTTTTCTATGCTAAACTATTACATTATACATCTCTTCTGTATATAGTTTAAATGTTATAGTATTATTTAATGGATAGAAGGCACATTTAGAAAAACAAATTTTAAGTGCATGTAATAGGCCATTAAAATGTACTTCAGGAAGAAAAATTTGGTAATGGAAATATTTAAGACAGGAAAGTATAAGAAAAACAAAATAATACAAAAATTGATGAATGCATGGTAAATGGAAATGGTAATGATAAGAAATCTGAATTTTAAAATAAGAGAAACTAAAATGCTAGTTTTTAATTATGTAATTTTAAGATATAACCTCAGCAAGGGGGTAGAGACATTAAACTAGAGAAATAATATAGGTTAATTTTTTAAAGACTAGAAAAATGAAACAACAATATATAGAGAGGGAATACCTATGAAAAATAAAATATTCTGTGATTATCAATAATCACATTAATTACAGACTTTTTTTTTACATTTTTTGCTGATTCTTTTCTTTTAACTGTTATTGCAAAGGTGATGTACATAGGGGTTACAATTACATAAGTCAGATAAAGAGTACATTTTTAATTTTTTTTCCTCATTCTCTCCCACTTTTCCCCTCCCATCCCCATGCACAGGTTGTATAGTTCATTTCCAGCATACTGTTGAGTGAGTACCACTGCAGCATTTGTTTACCCTTTGTCCCTCCATTTGTGCCTCTTTTATCCTCGCAAAGATAGGTAAACAAACAAAACAAAAGGAAAAGAAAACAAAAGCTAAATTCAATTACATAACATTTATGAAAATGATACCTAAAACATAAGGTCTAGGAGGGTAAAAGAATATAAAAGGTATAGAAGGCAATTAGAAAGAGTGAGAGCTGGATATTGTGGTGCCTGGCTTTGTTAGCCTATTTTGTTTTCTCTTTTTCAACACCTAGGATGCTTGTCCTTCTCAGTCTTTCTTGAAGTTACATTGATGATAGATTAGTTATTTTATAACAGTGATTTGTAAGCCAAAGTAAAAAACCGGCCTTCTAAGCTTGATGCCCAAAATTGTCCATAAGATTTTATGCTCACTTTTTATTTTGGGTATTAGTCATCATTGCTGTGTAGACTAGCTCACCCTCTCTAATACACAAAGTGAGAGCTTGAAATCTCCACAATTGTGTAGCAATGACATAATGAAGTAAGGTCAGGCCTGGCCAGCGCCATATTGTCCACATGATGGATGGTAGGGTCTGGCATCTTGTCTTCAATCTAGTGAAGGGAAACACCCCGCTGATCACTGCCTCCCAGGCATGCCCAGATCCCTGGAGGCAGGGGTGGGCACTTGTCTAATAGGTTACTGAATCTGTTAGTCTAGTGCCTGGGACTGGGGAATTTCCTGTGGACCTACCCCCACCTGCTCGGACCCTATTTAGGTCTGGACCAGCCCATCCTCCATTTTGCCATGCCATGTGTGTCTCTGAGATCTTGTCCTGTGTCCCTTCTCCTGGCTCATCTCCAGTTATCATTGAGTACCAGTTCAGCTCTCCATTGGAGCTGAATTGGTTTGTTAGTATTGTTTTTGTTTTTTCTTCTCTAGCTTGTTTCCTAGCTGTGTTATATGTATTTGGGGCCTGCAGGCCTTTGTAACAATGGGCTCCTTGCAGACTGCTAGTGTATAATAAAGACTCCAATATTCAGTCCTCCAGAATGTGGTTTCTGTAATTACAAAATTACAAAATTGTTGGTTGGAACTAGATACCAGTGGCTCACTCACACCTGTAATCTTAGCTACTTAGGAAGCAGAGCCTGAGGATCCTGATTTGAAGCTAACCCAGGCAGAACAAATGGTCTCTAGTAGACCAGTTTTGTTTTTTGTTTTTGTTTTTTTCTTTTTTGTCGGTCATGGGGCTTGAACTCTGGGCCTGGGCGCTGTCCCTCAGCTCTTCAGCTCAAGGCGCTCTACCACTTGAGCTACAGCGCCACTTCCGGTTTTCTGGTAGTTTATTGGAGATAGGAGTCTCACGGTTTCTCCTGCCCGGGCTGGCTTTGAACTGTGATCCTCAGATCTCAGCCTCCTGAGTAGCGAGGATTACAGGCGTGAGCCACCAGCGCCCGGCTGTTTTTGTTTTTGTTTTTTAAATTTGGGACAGGGGGCATGGCTCAAGAGGTAGAATGTCAGTCATGAGCAAAAAAACTAAGTGAGATCCTGAGGCCTTAAGTTCAAGTCCTAGTACTGTTACACATGCATGCGCATGCATACACACACACAATTTGTTAGCTAGAGCTGAACTGGTGTTTTGAGAGACTACTGTGGGCACATATACTTGTTTCATAAAAGAAGAACTTAAAAAGCAATTAGTAAGCATCCAGATTAAGACTTAAAATCATAGAGTGAAACAGCTAATATTAAAAGAAAAACCCTAATTATAGAATGGAAAAAAGAACATTAAACGTTACTTCTTTGAAAAAGAAAAATGTTTAGAGAGGAGAAATGTTTGAAAGCATCTCCTGTTAACACTGCCTAGGAAAAATAAGAAAGATATAATCTGAGTTAGTAATGTGAAGGGAACACATAAGAAGAAAGAAACATAGCAGTGATTAAAGAACTGTAGGAAAATAATTTGAGTAATGTTAAAAACTCCTTACTTGAGTACTGGGGGCTCACATTTGTAATAATAGCTACTGGGGAGGATGAGATCTGAAGATCAAATTTCAAAATCAGCAGGGCAGAAAAATCTGAGAGACCAAGCTCCAATTAACAACAAAAAAGCTGGAAGAGGAGGAATGCCTCAGGTGATAGAGTGCCAATCTTGAGAAGAAAAGCTAAACAAGAGCCCACAGCCATGAGTTCAAATCTCAGTACCAGCACCAAAAAAGAAAAATGCAGTTGGGAAATTTCTCACATAAAACAATTAGCAGCCTTAATTCTTTAATGGAAAATATAAGTAAACCCATGATAATTTCACTAATTAAATCAACAATTTAAAGTCTCTCTCTCTCTCTCTCTCTCTCTCTCTCTCTCTCACACACACACACACACACAAGCACAAATACCAGACCAAAGATTTTTGCAGTCAAGTTTGTCATTCTCAAAACATATTTTTATCCTTCTTAAATCATTGTAGAAAATGTGAAAATAAGATTTTTTTCTCCACTTACTTTATAAGGTGGTATAAAACTGACATGAGGGTACTCATGTCAAGAAAATTCTAAACCACTTTCTATTATAAACTTAAAGGCAAAAAAAATCATAGATCACAGAGTTCTAAAATGTGTATCAATTATACATACCAGGCTAAGACAAGTTTATACCAGAAAAGGATATTTTACTAGGTGATGGTGAACTATTGGAATATTTATGAAATCTACATTGTTAATTGGGAAAAAACAAATTACGAAGTTGTTTACAGAAAAATGTATGAATCTATTAAAACATATTTAAAGCAAGTTTTTTTGTTTTTGTTTTTGCAAACAGAAATAGAGCAATTTCTTAAACTAATTAAGATACAGGGTCAAAAGTTTCCAGGACAGAGCCAAACATACTAAGAAGAATGTTTGTTTAATCCCATTTGCAGTTTGACTGTTGGCCTTCATCAAATATGTACTAATCATACAGCAAATCCTACGAGTGTATAAGACCCTGTACCTGTAAGGGTTTATAAATAAGTTATTAAATAAGGGAAATATTAAGATAGCAAATTGGAAATATAGACTCTGTAATAGAAACTTGAACTAGCTTAAGTGAAATTAACCCAGCCACTTGGGCATTAGATATTTCTTGATTAAGATAAGAAAAAATATGTATAAGCCAAATGTTGATGCCTCATGGCTGCAATCCTAGCTAGTCAGGAGGATGCAATATGAAGATTGTGGTTCCAAGCTAGTCAGGGTAGGAATCTTGCAGATTCTTATAGACCTTCATCTCCAATTAACCAGCAGTAATATGGCTCATGTGGTAGAGTGCCAGCTTTGAGTAAAAAAGAAAGTCAAAGTCCAATGCTGTGAATTCAACCCCTAGTTAAAGCAGGTTTTGGACTGCAACTAAAATGGACTTTAATGGATAAATTAACAAGTTGTCATGTGTTAATTTTATAATTGATTTGTGTGTACACCAGAAATCACACAAAATCCATTTAACATTGCAGTGGAAACTAAAATCAATTCAACCAGTTAGAAAATTAGCTAAGAAAAGCAATAATTTTATAAATAATAAAAATAGATGGCAGAAGGTAGGATTAACTACAAAACCATGTATAGCCAAAATAAAAGATTTTAATACATTTTCTGGACTCAATATGTAACAATACATAACATGCATGAGTAAATATGATAAAACAAAAGATCAGTACATTGACTTAAGTGGAATGTTAAATTAGGTTTGTGTATTGGGCTAACCAAGATAATAAATTTCCTATTTTGAGTTGTATGTACAATATAATTCTTATCATAATCATGATGCCAACAAAGCTTTTGCTTATGTTTCATGTGTGGGCTGATAGACAAACTTTTCCTGAAAATCTTCAAAGGCTAACTGGTGCCAGGACTTTCTAAAATAAAGTTCAAATCATTTTATTCCATCAAAATTAAGAATCTTTGGCTTAAACTAAACAAGCTACAAATCAAAAACAAAATGAATATGAGTAGAAAGGCAGAATGTTGAAAGACTACAAAAGACTGTACAATTTTAAAAATATGGTAACAAAACTCAGTTGTCATATTAGGCCACCAAAAAATGGAAATAAATTAAAACCCCTATAAGGTGGAGGAAACACTTACATAATCATGTGATTGTACTTGCCTTTGAATGATCTCATGCTAGATGTCCCACAGTGCCCACAAATGGACCACAAAGGAGTCACTTTACATAAGAACTCATGAGTAGCAACTGTTCTTGAAAGAACACACATTTCTGTTCAGGGAATTTGAGCCACTCCAAAGGATAATGACTTGCAGGGGTTTTTAGATCAGCCACATCTGTTCTGAAATAAAATGCGTTTTCCTGTTTCTAAACTGGCTAACCCTTAACCCCATTAGACTTAACACTGTAAATATGATTCCTCTTTCACTTGCTGTGTAACAGTCAGACCATTGTATTTATTCTGTCCCATGGAACTCATCGCAATTTTATTGTTCCCTTTTGGTGAGCAAAAAAGAAGGAAGATGCAAAAGAAAACAAGGGTATTCTAGGTTTGAAGGTCTGCTTCATAAGTTAGGTCCACACAGACAACTGTGGCAAATAAATGTCTCTAACATAACAGCACCTTTCCAAGATGGAGAATCTGTTGTGTTTTTCTCTTCAACCATCCCTTTCATTGTTCTGCTGTCTGAGTCTTCACTGTGTAAAGGGAAAGGAAGCTGGTCTGCAGCTCACGGAAGCCCCTGACTGCCTGAGAGGCTGGCACACCCTGCATTGTGAGCTCCTAGGCTTTATGCTTAGACTACCCTAAAAGAGTTTCTTTCTCTGAGGTCTTATGCGAAAATATAACAACAGATTTGGGGGGAAAATATGAAAGAAAGGAGTAAAATAAAGGTTTATAGAGCTAAAATAAAGTCGAGGAGAAACCAGAAACGGGAAGGGAATGAATGGGTGGGAAAAATCACACATTACATATGAAATTAGAGCAAGGTATGTGCAAAGAAAAAACAGCTATCGTTTATTCTTTTCCCTATAGATTCCTTTGGCATAAGTAATGAAATCTCACAGAGAAAAACAGCAACCACCCCAACCCTAGATTGATACCCCCAGATCTTACCTGTGAGTAGACGAGGTTTTGCCAGTGTTGTGCAGCAGGATAATTGCCACTGGGAAATCTCGCGAGGCTCGCCTGCAGAAAGGCCGGGCTTCTCATTAAAGACTTCACGTCAAGCTGCAGGAATTTGTCAGGATGGTTGTTATTGGGCAAAACAGAAAGGTCCATGTCTCCTTTCGTCTGTGATGGAAACAAAGCAGGCGAAACTGCTTCTGTCACTCTTCCATTATTAATGATCCTGAAGATGCTCCAACTGGCATCTGAAACCAGGTCTCTCAGTTGCACACAAAAGGACAGATCAAAGCACAGGAACAAAGCAGCAAAAGCAGAACACTGTCCTATTTACACAACACAAAGAAACCATATGCGAATGGGGAAAATGGGGCTACGCTGATTAAAATGAACAGGACTGCAAGGTCAGATGCGCCTCTCCATGCAGGCGCAAACAGCCACGCTATGGGAGCTACTGTCTGTGTAAAGGCTGTCACGACTGTCGTGTCATAGCTCATCACTTGCAGCATGGGATGGAGTCACCTGTGGAGAGCCACTGCCTGGGTTGGCTCCTTCTGAATATTGCTGAACTCAGGTAGCTGCCGCCCTGCTCACACAGTCTTACATGTGATATGTAGCATCCTATTTCGTCTCGTGGTTTGACTCCCCGAGTCTTGAGGCCATGTGAAATCTAAGCAGACTAAGGTTCAGCTTGTTCTGAGTGGAGAAATTGTGAGAATTTCCTTTATAGTCAAACCTATTGTCTTGACTCAGGAGCTACAAGAGGTGCCTTGGTCTCTGTTTCTAGAATACGATCTATAATGTCTGGTGTTCCCATGGCATGTTCGAAACCGAAGGAAAACAAATGCTGCCAGGTTTGGATGATTGCTGCTGTTAAGTGAACCCAGCTACAGTTGAGAGAGCTGAGGTGTGGCCATGGCTGTGGACAGCATGCGAGCCAGGAAGTGACAATGACTGTAATGAGCACCCCATCCTCCTAAGACACTCTGAGCAACCTACACGGTTCACTGGGAAAGTTTGGAATTCCATCTGGAGTAAGAGGAGAACTTCCCACTCATGAGAAGGCAAACAACAGATATATTAAACATAGGCTCCCCATCTCTGTAAGCTCCTCTGATTTAGCAGGAAGGCTTCTCTTCTGAGAGCAATGGAATTGCATGTGGGAATGTATCACTAGGTTTTAGGAGTCCAGTATGGTTTACAGGAATCAGCAATCAGGACATTCTTGAATCCTGCAAGCCACTGGAGAGTACTTATCTTCTTTATGACAAAAAGAATGAGGGGGCATCTTTTTAAAAAAATCTATTCTACTTACAATTGTAAACTTAAGTTTTTTTTATAAAAAGTATTTGGATACAAACTTGCAATATTTAAACTACTTTTTGCATGGTTTTAAAATACATTTTGTGAAGAAAGTAATAGATACTTTACAATAAAAGTGAAGAACAAAATAATTAAACCACAATTGTTTCAAGAATCAAATGTACTAAATGTACATGCATGTGCTTGGTATTTTCTGGATTCTTTCTGGCTGCTGCCAGAATATGAACAAGTATTTTACTGACTGCTTGCTTTTCCTAAAATATTCTTTGGAGTATAACACATATCTTCAAGAAGATTTTAATTTGTCTTTGGCTCCCTGTATTGGCAAGTGGAGACATGTAAGTTACATCTGAATATATTTGATTAGGGCTTTTCCTTAGCCAAAGTTTGAGGTAGATGAACTGGGCCTTCAGATTTCCATAGGCATCTTAAAAAATACAATTTTATTGTTATTATTGTGCTATACAAAGAGGTTACTGTTTCATAAGGCAGGTAATAATTACATTTCTTTCTTTCCTTCACTTTCCTCCAGCTACCAACAAGTTGCATAGTTCATTTTCCACATAGTTTATTTTCTACTGCACATCATGGCTACATTTGTTCATCCTCCCTCCCTCCATTTCTGTGTGTCCCTTGCCCTCCCCCAAAAAGACAGAGAAAAGAATAAACAAAAAAGAAAAACAATCACCATCACTACCACCATGAACAAAAAAATCTATATTTTCATTTCCTGGAATTTGTTTCAATAAATATTTTAAATATTCAGAGATATTGCAAGTTTGGTTTCCTCCCCTAAGGGTATCCTTCTTTAGTCTCACTGTGCATCAGGGCCTATAGTGCTGTATATTTTATCATGCCCCAGTGTATTTTAGATCTAGCTTCTGCCTATGAGAGAAAACAGGTGATTAGACATCATTTTGACTTCTTTGCTGTCCTACATGCTTTGGTCTATATACTGTGTCTCTGTCTGCAAGTGTTGCCTCAGACTCTCCTTTTCCTCCCACAATCCTCTGTCTTCACTGTGAAAATCTTCAGGTCTCATTTCTTACTGCTATCACTGCATGTATCCATTTGAATGAAACCAGGAATTTGAAATTTAACCTCCACCTTCCTGGATTGCCACCCACACCATTATCCACCAAACCCAACTTCTACTCCTGCCTGGGGACCTTGTTTCTCCCCCTGCTCCTGCCTGTTGACTACCTCCGAATCATGCTCGAAGGGCCCTGGCTGACATACAGCCTTCCATAAAACTGTTGGCCATTTTCCTTGGCAAATAACATTTTTCTTCTATGAAACTTCCAATTGACTTTAAAAAATAGCTTTATTTCTTTAATTATCTTTGGTTTGAAACAGTCTATTGGATGGCCTATTCCATATAAATCAAGTCTAAAGATAAAAATTAAACCCTTTTTTCAATAAATAATTGTTTCTGTTGTCTCTTCCAGTTTCTTTAGGGCACAACTTTTGTTATGTCCAATTAAATTTGATGAAGAAAATGACTTGGTGCTCTGTATTTCTTTTCTTTTGAGAGTTTTATACTTATATAAATGAGCAAGATTAGTGTCTAACATGAATTTTTCATAATGTCTTCATCAAATTCACATAGCAAAATCATGATTATTGGATTAAATATGTGTTCCTTCCTTTCTATGGATAATTGACAAAGTATTAATGCTATTTTCTTTAAATATTTAGTAGACCTCATTATTGGACTCATTCAGGTTTAGAATGTGTTAAAATAAGATTCAGATTTCTTCAAGATTAGATCTCTCTCTCTGCTTTGGTTTTGTCAAATTGTATATTTCTACCAAGCTATATATTTTTATTTAAATGTTAAAATTATATTTTATTCATGTGATATTTTCATACGTTTTGTAAGTATCATACTCGGTTGTGCTAATTTTTCATTATTGACATGGTTATAAATTTCCCTGTTCATATTTTTAAATTAATTTTATTTATTTATTTATTTTTGTTTACCGGGTATCAAGGAATCGAACCTAGGGCCTCATACATGCTAGGCAGTCTACTATGACGCCACATTCCTAGCCCCGGCCCCCATTCATTTTTTCTATAGGTTTTTCATTATTCACAATTGTCTGAGTTAAACATTAAATACAATGTGGAAAGAACGATCATAAGTACAAGGAAAACTAGAGACTTGACTCAAGTGGTGATACAGCAGTTGAACCAACCACTTGAGTGTAAGGCCCTTGTTCAAATCCCAGTTCTTTCTCCCCAAATAATATGTAACATGTATTTAGAGTATAATATGATATATTATACATATTATTACATAGAATGAACATATATATATAAAACAATCTGGTAAGAACTGTGGCTATTAGGGGCTTCTCAACCCTTGATGTGAAAGTATCCATTTTCCATTTGCTATTTCCTTACAGAATTTTTTTTTTTTTTGATCGGTCGTGGGGCTTGAACTCTGGGCTTGGGCGCTGTCCCTGCACTCTTCAGCTCAAGGAGAGCATTCTACCACTTGAGCCACAGGACCACTTCCGGTTTTCTAGTGGTTTATTGGAGATAAGAGTCTCACGGACTTTCCTGCCCCGGCTGGCTTTGAACTGCAATCCTCCAGATCTCAGAGTCCTGAGTAGCTAGGATTACAGGTGTAAGCCACCAGCATTGGCCTTACAGAAAATTTTTATAAAAATATCATTTCTCTATGGAATTTCACCTAAATTAAGAGGTTTTATATTAGGAATATTGAAAACATGACATCACATACAAACTCAACGATGAAGCTGTCTACAAATCCTTCTTTTTCTTCTTTGAAAGCAAATTACCGATGATTAGTTGACTGAAGTAGAAAATGTATGTCTGTTTTACTAATTGTTACTCACAACATGTATGACCTAACATGAATAATAGCTGCAGCTCTAAAAATCCAAGAGATAACTTTTAATTACAGTAATCACAAAAATCCCAGGCTGCTCCTTTTTTTCTAAAAGATACTGCTGATTAGAGGCATGATATTCAATGATATTCAATTATTCATGGCTGTGGCTAATGATTTGGCTTCATGGGCAGGAGCTTTGAAGAAGCACAGATTGCTGATGACAAGGAAACGCTGAGGAAAATGTATGTACATTGAATACACTTATCCTCCATGCGACTGGAAAAAGAACCCTATAGAGATAGGAATAATTTTCAGGTGGGTGAGATAGCAATGCTCTGTGGGTGTTGATTGGTCTTTTTCACTATATTAGAAATGGCTTGTCATGTTGGGGTGCCTCACAGAAATGAAGACAAAAACTCAAAAGGAACTTGGCAAGGCAAACTTCACTTCTGTAGAAGTGAAAAATAGAAACCAAAAATCTGACAACTGAGCATAGAGAGCAGGTAGGCTGCTCTCTTTGTATCTCCAATACAGCAATTCTTTTGCCTCTGCTTGAATTGGCCAAACTCAGGCTCATAATCTGCTCACAATTGCCTAGTTAGAAGAGGGTAGGATGTCTTAGCATTCTCTATTACTGTCTGTGCTTTCTCATATTTGTGTAAGGTCCATTCCTGGACGGCGAACAGACCTCACCCAGTACCTGCGTTACCTAGGCAACTGGGATACCTGGAAGAGGTCACATCCGCATCCGCTGAGGTCACATCTTAACCTGATGTGGCCACACCTTTCTCCCACCCGATCCCACTTCCCTTTACCTGGACACACCCTTCCCCACCCCCTACCCTATATAAGGCCTAAACCGCGGCCAGACCGCCCTTTTTTTCCTTTTGCCAGCCGCGTGGAGTGCCAACCTTGCCTGGTCCCAGCAGGTCTACTGAATAAACCTACCCCTTACCTGAATACCACGTGCGTGGTGCAGTTCTTACTCGGCCACCTCTTTTTAAAAACCTAACAATTTGTAGTGCAATCAGCAAGAGCCAAGCCACTAGGCCAAAGCAGGAACTTAAAACAATTATATATGTAGTTTACAAAGGAGTTGGCATTTAACAAATTAGCTTATGAATGCAATGCATCTTGATTAAGGTCACACATTCAACAGTCTCACCCATCCCTCCCAACTCACCTTTTCCCTCACTTTTACTTAATTCAATAGGATATACATTGAATTCTTGACTGCATTGACCTGCTACTCTTTATTTGTCTCTCCCAGTGACTCCACCCAAAATACATGCTTCCTAGTGTTTAATTTGTTGAACTTTGATTGTGCATTTTTAAGGAGTTACACTATTTTCATTCTCCCTAAGGTCTATCATATCTCACTAAATACATCTGTATGTACTTGCATACCTTCCAACACCTTTATTTATAAGTTTACAAGTGATGTCCAGCTTCCACTGGAAAGAAATGCAACTGTTCTAATGGCTGAGGTAGAATCTCAGTGTCATTTAGATGTGCACATTCTTTATGGCCAGAGATGTTGAGAATTTCTTTGTCTACTGTCCATTTTTACTTTTACTGAGAAGTCTTAATTTAGCTCTTTAGCTGTTTATTAATCAGATTGTTGGTGCTTCAAGGGTTTAACTTTTTAAGCTCTCTGTACACATTAGATATTAGGCCATTGTCTTATAGATTTCAACAATCTCACACTGTGTAGGCTGTCTTTCTAGCTTGTTGGCTATGTTCTTAGCTGTGCAGAACTTTTAATTTTGATGCAATTCTGTTTATCAGGTCTTTGGTTTACTGTGCTTCTGGACCTTTATTTAGAAAGTTCCTACCTATGCCAAGAAGTTCTAAAGTTTCTCCTACTCCTTCCTGTAATAGTTTTATGGTTTCACATCTTACATTGAGATATCTGACACATTTTGAATTGATGCTGGTGGAAGGCAATAGATAGGATCCAGTTTTCTACATGTGGATGTCCAGTTTTCCCAGTACCATTTGTTGAAGAGGCTGCATTTCTTCCAATCTATGTAGAAAGTGAAAAAACCTCTCATGCTCCTGGATCAACATTGTGAAAATGGCAATACTTCCCAAGGCTATCTACAAATTCAATGCCATACCTCTCAATATTCCAACCCCATTCTTCAAGGAAATAGAAGAGGCAATCCAAAAATTCATACGGAACAATAAAAGACCCCGAATAGCAAAAAATGATCCTTAACAGAAAGAACAGTCCTGGAGGAATATTAATACCAAATTTCAAACTCTACTACAAAGCCATAGTAATCAAAACAGCTTAGTACTGGCACAAGAAGAGACCTCAAGACCAATGGAATAGAATCGAAAACCCAGAAATGAACCCACAGACCTATAGCTCCCTTCGATAAGGGAGCTCAAAAAATAGAATGGAAGAAAGACATCCTCTTCAGTAAATGGTGCTGGCAAAACTGGTTAATCACTTGTAGAAAACTAAAGCTAGATCCTTATATACCACCCTGCACCAGAATCAACTCCAAATGGATCAAAGACCTCGAAGTCAAAGCAGACACCCTGAAAACAGTCTATGTATTGACTCCCTAATTGAATATTAGATGGCTCTAGGTCTGTGGTTTTATTTCTGGGTCTTTTATATTCTATTTGTTCTCAGGCCTGTTTTCATTACTATATCACTGTAGTAGAGATTGAAGTTTGATATTGCTATACTTCCAACACTATTTTTTCTTCTAAATTGCTTTTGCAATTCAGGGACTTTTGTGAGTCTATATAAATTTCTGGATTCTTTTCTTTATCTCATTGAAGAATGATGCTGTGCTTTTGATGGGTATTGCATTGAATTTGTATCCTACTTTGGTCTTTAATGACATTTTCAGGATATTAATTTTGCCTGTCCAGGAGCATGGATGATCTTTACATTCCCTCTATTTTCTTTGATTTCCTTCTTCAAATTTTTGTAGTTTCCATTATAGAGGTCTTTCACATCCTTGGCTAGTTCCTGGGGTTTATTTTAGAGACTATTGCAAATGTAGTTGCTTTCCTTTATTTTTTAAAAATATTATTGTCAAGGTGATGTACAGAAGGGTTACAGTTACATAAGTAAGGTAGTGAGTATATTTCTTGTTGAACTAGTTAATCCCTCCAGCATTTTCCCCCTACTTTCCCTCTCCCACCTTCCCCAAGTTGTACAAATTATTTCCAACATATTGTCTTGTGAGTATCGCTGTATCCTTTGTACTTTGTCTCACCATTTTGTTGTTTCCCTTCCCTTCCCTAACTCAGATACCCAGGATTTCAGACTTGATCTTCACATTGTTTTTTTATAAAAAAGCTACTGCTTTTTTGGGGTTGATTTTGTGCCCTGGTACTTTACTAAAATTTTTAATCCTCTTGGAAGAGGAGTCTATAATGTCCTTTAAATATAGGATCATATTATCTCAAATAGGGATAGTTTTTATTCTTTCTTCCGTATTTGGATCCTTTTAGGTCTTTCTTCCCTCGTCGCTGTTGTTAGGAATTTCAGTACTATATTGAAGAGGATTGGAGAGGGAAGACATCCTTATCTCATGCTTGGTTTGAGAAGGAATAGTTTTAAATTTTCATCATTACATAAGATGTTGGCTGGAGGTTTGTCATAAATGGCCTTTATCATATTGAGAAATGTTCCATGTTTTTGTAGCTTCTCCAGAGATTCTATCATAAAAGAATTTTGGATCTTCTCAAAAGCCTTTTGTGTATCTATTGAGATGATCATGTGACTTCAGTCTTTAAATCTGTTGATATGTTGTATTACATTTACTGATTTATGTATGTTGAACAACCTTTGCATCCCTGGGTTGATCCTGTTTGAGCATAATGTATTTTGAGGGGGGAGCTAAGTTGTTGGATTTGGTTGGCCAATATTTCCTTGAGAAGTTTTACATCTGTGTTTATCAGAGCCAGTTCTACAGTTCTCTTTTATTGATGGGTCTTTATCTGATTTTGAAATGAGTGTGAGGCTGGTTCATAGACTGAGTTTGGTAGCAATCCCTACCATTCTATTTCATTGAAGAGCATGAGGCGTACCAGTGTTAGTTTTCTTTAAAGGCTTATAGAATTTGGCCACTTTGATAGAAAAGATTGCTTTTCTTAGAATGACCCCCTTTTTCTTTTCTATTCATTTCTTCAAACTCTTTCAACCTTATTTGTCTCTCTACCTCAACTGCATTTAGTGATGAATGTGTGATGGAAGTTTGGGTAGGCAGTCCAATGAGTCCCCATATGAATAAGTCAGACAACGCCCAAGTAAATCCACTGTCCCAATTAAAATAAGGAGGGACATTAGAATTGAGGTCAACACTTCCATTTTCTAGCCAGCTAGTGAGGGCGTCATTTACCTCTGAATTAAAAAAAAAAGTTTTTATTTCCTTTACATAATTATACAAAGGAACTGCCATTCAAAAGAGCAGTTTATGAATACAGTGCCTTTTGATCATTGTCACCCCTTTTAACATTCTCATCTACCACTCCCACCTTTCCCCTTCCTTCACTTTTCTTAATTTTAGGTTATTTATTGTTTTTTTTTTGCCATTTAACAATGCAATTTATATATACAATGCATCTAGATCTGTGTTATCTCTTCAACATCTTCACCTTCCCTCCACCCATCCTTTCCCTATTTGTCTTACTTCTGAGACATATGCAACGCATTCTTGCCTGCGTTCTACTAATTTTCCTCATCCACTCTTCTACCCCTCTTCGCTATTTACCATAGCCAAGTCTATGGAATCAGCCCAGATACTGATATGGTTCTACTTACTCATCAGAAGGAATAACATTGAACCATTCATAATGAAATGGAAAGACTTGGAGCAGACTATGTTAAATGAAGCAAGCCAGATCCATACCTAGAGAAGCAACAGTTGTATGGTTTTCCTCATTAGTGGGAACTAGAAAGTACCTATAAATACTTGGTGGCACCCAAGTGGTTATAAATAAGCTGAAGTATAATAGAATCTATGGAGAACTCAAATACTATACTATAATTCTTTAGAAAAACCAATTCAAAGCCCAACAAAAGAGTACTAGGAATTGGGTACTATTCTCTGAATTTTTAGTTGACAATCCACCCAGTGCTGTAATTTTAACTTCTTTTTGTGTGTGTGCTGTCCAGGTCTAGGGTACTGTCCCTAAGCATTTGTGCTCAAGGATAGTGCAATGATCTACCACTTTCAGCAATAGCACCATGTTCTGGCTTTTTAATACTTGGAAATAGGAGTCACAAGGACTGACTGCCCAGGCTGGCTTTGAGCCATAATACTCAGATCTCAGCCTCCTGAGTAGCTAGGAATATAGTCATAAGTTACAAATGCCCAGCTAGTGCTGTTTTTTTGAGGTTGAATATACAACCTCCTCTACCAGTCAGGAACCACCCCCTTCCCCCGCTTTTCTGCCGAATCATATCAGCTGCCATCCAATTTTTCCATGCCATCTTACCATCTTACTACTGAGATTTAATTGTTCTGTGCTTCCCTTATTACCTCTCTAGTATAATTGGCCAACATCTTTTGGTTATGGTAGACATAACTGATCCACTTTCTTTTCTGAAGAGGGCTTTGGGTGATGCCAAGATGAAAGAGATAGCCAATTGAACCAAAGTAAGGGTTCCATTCCATTTAAGCATTCCCATCTCCTCAAAACACTGGCATTTATTGTACCCAAATATATTTACCAGGAACTCTTATTTTTCCTACCCTGCTCAGAGAGGCACAAGCTGAAGTAAGAATTGTGGTACAATGATTTAAACAAATGACACTGTCCTTGTCCTTCAAGATTTTTGCTCAGAACCATCTTGTCTTGTAAGAGGGCTATCATGAATGTCATGCTGACAGGATCTCTGGTCCATCTCAAAGGGAATGGGGCAAAGTGAGGTCTTGGTCTACCTGCTGCACATATATTTTTCTTTAAAGTGCAAACAGATATTTTATTCATTCTAACCATGCATTTGTTTCATCACAACCAGCTTCAACAGTTAGGTCCTGTCTTACCTTCCAGTACGATTACCTCAGAATGATTGCCTTGAGGCGTAGAAGGCAATATTGGAACTCGGACATAAGCTCCATCGCAGTTAGCTCCAATAATTCTAAGCAGAATTCTTTTCAATCAGATGAAAGATGCAAAGTCTATCAGATCAGAAATGTAATTTTCCTATCAGGTCAGAAATGCAACTTCAGACAGAAATTCCTCATTTGTAATACCTAAATACAGAAGGCTCCTCAGTCAGACTGTGTATCTATAACCATGACCTGGGGGCTATGTTATTTCTATGTTTACCATTATTATACTACTGATAGTTGACCATCCTCCATCACTCTTAACCACAGTAGAGTGGATAATCGCCCTCTGAAACTTCACACTTACTCTTGAAGGGAATATTTCTCTCAGTCATCACAGGGAACAATAGTACAGGAATGGAATTAGACAGTCATAGGGAGGAGATCTTGAGAATTCTAATAGTCTTAAGACAGCTCCTCTAGTGGATGAGAAATATTGACAACTACATGAGTGTTTTCAAAGTAATTTGGTATCTCCAGGACTGGATAATATTTTTTTGGGGGGTGGTGAGGGCTCATATTATCCAAATACAGCAAATGCATTCATTTTATGTAGTATGTACTACCTTATCAGTGATGCGTAGCACCTGATAACATGGCTCCCAGATTACAGTTTCTTTTTATTCGGTCTCAGGTTTAGTTTGGTATAAGGGGAAACTTGAGGGGTGGAGTTTGGGTCAGCAATCCTTGTGGCCTTGAGAGATGATAGGGCTGAAGAGATACTGAACACATAGGAACTGATCTTTGGTGTCAAGTATTGAGAAAAGTGATCTAGAAAATCCATTTCCCCTATATTTAAAGCAGAAGACACAAAACTCTTGGATTAGAAACAAAGGACTTTATTAGTCACAGCAATAGCAGTGGCCCAAGAACCCCCATCTTCTTGTCCTGGTTCTCTGAGACCCAATTGACGCAGCAGGGTAACATGAAGACAGCTGAGTGATCACTGCTCATGCAGTAAGTTGTATGGTGAGAACGGAACCTCAACTTTAGGAAACCTGAACACTTTATAATACAAAATAGTATGGGTGTTCTTTATCCAAAGAGAGACAGTATCTTCTATAGTGGTTCACAATACAAAAATATTTTAGAAGTTAGTTCAGAACTAAAGCAGTCATTGCCTTTTGTGGCAAAACATGGACATTGAGAGCTATGTGAAGAACTGCCTCCTCAACAGATGTTTCAAATAATTTATTGAAAAAAACTAATAAATTCTGTGTATCATATATGATACTTTCCCATAAGAAAAATTTTAACTTGATTTTTGAAAATTTCACAGAACTGTAAACATTTTTATTTTTACTTTTTTTTTTCTTTTGCCAGTTTTAGGGCTTGAACATTGGGCCTGGGCACTGTCCCTGAGCTCCTTTTGCTCACAGCTAGCACTTGAGCCACAGCACTACTTCTGGCTTTTTCTATAATTAATTGGAGGTAAGAGTCTCACAAACTTCTCTGCCCTGATTGGGCTGGCTTTGAACCCTGATCCTCAGATCTCAGCTTCCTGAGTAGCTAGTATTACAGGCGTGAGCCACCGGTACCCGGCAAAAGTTTGTATTTTTAAAAAGATGATAAAGCAGTGAAACTACCACAGTGTTATATGTGTTTCCTTCATTTTTCTTCTTAGGAAAAAGGCTAAAAACATTTAATATATTTTCTCATGATTTTTCTGCTAAAAGGATATACAAAAGTGGATGAATCTATCTTTTCTTTGTTCAAAATATTTTAAACATTAAAGTCTAATGACATGTTACAATACATATATTTGTATGGATGTTCCTATTTCTATAACAGTTTCTCTACACTCTATGAACAGTGCATACATGATTCAGTGTAAATCCTTACAGTGTTTCATTGTTACAGAACTTGAGTTCAAGTCAAATAAGGGAAAGACTAGGTCTAAGTCAGTCCTCACCTGTTTTCACAGCCATACTGGAGCCTGACCAGGTGATGGTGCTGTCAGCCCAGCTTAGGAGGCCTAGAGGTGAGTCAAGCCACCCTTTGAATTGCAGATTCACCTTGTTGTTAGACAAAGATAGGATATGCAGATATACTGTGATTAAGCCCCTGGGAAATCCTGCCTCTCTTGGTGCCTTTTGTTTTATGTGGGGGCTTTGTCACCACCCAAGCATGAGGTTTTTGTCTTTAAAAGTTTGGTGTAAGCTCTATTCTAGGTTGCTGGTCTATGAGACAGGAGTCCACCATGTAGACACCGGCCTTTAAATAAAGATTCCTGATTTGAGCTTCAAAATGTGGCTTCTCTGGATTTGCATCTGAGATACCTTATAACACAAGTACATGTTAATGAACATGACCAAAGTCTTTGTTTAAAATATTATTATAGCACCAGTAGAATTTGACTAAATGTGAACCAAATTCATAATAAGTTCTCTAAAATCCTATTCAACAACATGAGGTTTGTTATGTTTGTATATCTCCTGCGTATGAGAGAAAATAGGTTAATTCTGTAGCAGGACACCACAAAAAAAAAAAAAAAAGAAAGAAAGCATCATTTTTCTCCATATGTAACTAAACTATTGTGCTAATATATGTGCTATTGTGCTGTATATGTGCAGATAATTCAAAAGTATTGAAGAGAGAATAGCACCTTAGAAACAACCCTAACATAAATAGTATAACAAAAAAATTTAAGTCTAATAATCTCTTTACTTCTCTTTTCTTATTTGTTTCCTGGACCTAGCTCATTCACTTACATAAAATTATTTATGGAGCCCTATATTATAAATCAAATGTTTGTATAAACAAAAACCACATTAGATGTTTGGCAAGCAAAAATAAATTAATTTGATTAAATTATATGCAATCTGATAATATTTGGTCTGAAAAACATGCTAGTGGGGTGTTTATAAATAATGTAATTGCAAAGAGAGGGAGTGATTGGCCAGCTTCCTAGAGGTCAACTCTTCTGCTGAAGCTTTTGGGCATAGAAATCCCTGCACATGTCGCAGCATCGCTGATACCACCTCATGTCTTGACACAGGTTCTTTTCTCGGATCACTCGGCAGTAAACAGGCCATTGATCTCCTAAGCACTTGAAAGTCAGAGCAGCTATCAACAAAATATAATGAACTTACTACATGTAGAGATCATACATATTATTAGTAGAGACACAATTCAGTCACTTAAGTGGAGTTACTGTGACACATTTACATTGCTTTCTGAAACCTAACACACACACACACACACACACACACACACACACACACACACACACACATCCTGTAATAAGGGAGCACAGTGAATGAATAATGTTACTATTCTAAACTTTTTAAGCTTACTGGAAATAGATTTCCCACATCAATGTGTGATATTTCTCAGTTTCAATTTTGAACCTTTCTTTAAATTTGTCTTGGCTTCATTATTAATACTGTTATTAGTGGAGACACCAGGGTTTGAACTCAGTGCCTTACACTAAGTCAGTTCATGCTCTTATCACTGAGCTACACCTCCAGTCTAACTTTTGGCTGGTTATTTTGGAGATGCAGTCTTGCAGGCTTCTCTGCTAAGCCTCCTGAGTAGTTGGATTTACAGTCATGTCATAGTCCCTGGCCTCTTTTGGAATGCAAACTAATAAACATTGCTATGAATGAAATTGTAATGAAATAGAAATTTGAAAATGTACTCATTGGAGTATCTAGAGAGAGTGATTTCAGATCTTCTAAACTGAAAGGTGATTATTATGAGTAACTGAAATTTACCAGCATACTTAGTGTTTGGAATGGGAATCTAGTATAGAAATTTGGTCCTGCATATTCCCCTCAGTTACTAGAAGAAATAATAAATTCTAGAATCCAAAAGGAAGGCAAATCTTGCCAGTATTCAAATTCAGCTAATAATTCCACTTTTTAAAAATTTAGGTTTCCTGCCTTGCCTTGATGTGCCTATGTTTTGGGATAAACATTTCAGAAATACACAAAATGCAATATAAAATCCTTCCTAATACAATATTTTCTGCCAAATGTTTTTCAAGCACTCCAAGTAATAACTAGAGCAAGAAATTATGTTGTTATTGAATATATGGACATTTATTCAATAAGGCTTCTATAATAAGACTTGCAAATCCACAAGTGGATCCTTTAAGTTTTGTCTTAATTAGTCTTATTATACTTGGTCTGCCTATTTCTTAAAATGTTATTTGGCTCAAAAGGAAGATTTTTGTATTTGTTTGGGGAACCAAATTTGGCATTACATTGAATTTGCTGCTTGTAAACCCACATATAATTTAGTTCCTTGTATTTTCTCAATCACACTGCATGATACTAATTATTCTTTTGGAGATTACATGTAGAGGTTATTACTGAAGTGTTAAAATAAATGAACTCACTGACAGCCAGGTAGGAGTGCTATTAAAAAAACTCTAAGTTGGGAGGTGCCAGTGGCTCACACCTATAATCCTAGCTACCAAGGAGGTTGAGTTCTGAGGATTGCAGTTCAATGTCAGCCAAGTAGGAAAGTCTGTAAAACTTTTATCTCCAATTAAATAACAATAACAACAAAAAGCCAGAACTGGAGCAATGGCTCAAGTGGTAGAACACTAGCCTTAAGTAGAAAAACTCAGACAGAGCACTCAGGCCCTGAGTTCAAGTTCAAGGGCTGAGACCAAAAAAACCCCCCCCAAATCAAAACAAAACAACAAAACCCCCCACTAATTTTATAAAGGCCTTAATGACCAAGCTAATTAGTTTTTTTGGTCTTTTATGTAACTATAGGCTACATCCACTCAAAAAAAATTTCTGCTTTTTGTTTATAGATGAGATTAAACAATAGAAATTGAGACTATTTCATAATGTAAAACACCATTATTTTCTTTTATCCTGACTTTAAGCAGACACTTTCAAGAATCAAAGCAGTTAAGTATTAAAAATTTTTTTTTTATACAAAAAACCCATCTGGCTATTTGAGGCAAATAATGTTGTAAATAGAAGCAACTTAATCTAACCAAACTACTCATCCAATATAGTTTTACAGCTCACAGGATTTAAAGTGGTATGCAAATGAGAAGAAGTTATAAGGATATAAAGATTTCTATGCTTCAGAACCCCATCCACTTTCTGGTCTGCTTACCAAGTCTAGGTGATGTTATGGTATTTACATTGATCTTCTCATTGCAGGGCTGAAGGTGGCATGGCCTATATGCTGCAGGTTTTTCTGAAGAGAAACATTCATTTCCATGTCTTCCTGTGATCTTATGCATGCACTGGATAACACGAGACTGCATTCCTTTGCCACAGGTAATTGAGCACTAGCAAAGATATAAGATGTATTAAGAGTGCTTTTGTCGTTTTCTTTTCGTGGATGTAAGTCATCTTTTAAAGATAGTCCTCAAGAATTAGACAGGAACAACAATCCAAAGTTGATGCAAAACGTGAATCATTCTCACAAATTCTGCTGAAAATCTGACTGTCCCATAGCCAGTTTTGAGCATTGAAAGACATTGGAGTAGAAAGATGGCTAAATAAAGTTAGAGAGTGTGACTTGAAAGGAAATGCTTGGACAGCCAGTTTTCAAAGTTTTGCAACCAGATTTGCAAGAAGTAATTATTCATTATTTATTACACTTTAGTCGTTGATGTTGAAATGTTAGCATATGATCAATTATGGCACTTAAATCCTTTATTTTTGCTCTGATCTGAAAGTATTAATCAATAGTGTATATATATATATATATATATATATATAAAATTTTATAGATGGTTTATCACCCTGATGAGATTGTTGAAATAACAACTACTTATTAGTAAACTAGATGACATTCATTCTAAAAGTAATGAAAATATCTGACAATCTGGATTTGCTAATAAATGCACTTTTATTTTTCTCTCTGCTGGTACTGGGGCTTGAACTTAGGACCTGAGTGTTGTCCCTTAGTTTTTTGTTTTTTTTTTTTCCTTTTTTTGCTCAAAGCTGATGCTGTATCACTTGAGTCACAGTTCCACTTCTGGCTTTTGGTAGCTAATTGGATATAAGAGTCTCACAGTCTTTTCTGCCCAGACTGGCCTTGAACCACGATCCTCAGATCTCAGCCCTCTGAGTAGCTAGGATTATAGGTGTGACCAGTGCCTGGAAAAATGCACTTTTAATAGATTTCTTGCAGCCAAATATAGTTTGTACAACCTTTTGCAGAGAAGAATATACTTAATGTGCAACAGTCTTATTATAGAAGCTTCATGCTTCCATATATGTCATTAGAATTATTTGGCTGAGAAAATACACTTGTTTTATAATCCCAAAACTATATGTAAGACAGGGAATTTGCTTGTGCTTCTGAAAATGACTGTTTATCAGGCATATTCTTCTCTATGCAATAAAGATTTACCCATATTTGATTAAGCATATTTAGCAAAATAGAACTATTTGAACAAATGATATCACTGTATGTTATTCTAATTCAAAGTAGAAAAATGCTTTGTTTTCCTTTATGACAGAAGATTTGAACTCAGACCTCAGAGTTTTAGGCAGTGCTTGAATTCTGTTCCTGGACCCTTTCAGCTTTAGTTATTTTTCAAGTAGAATCTCAAGTTTTTGCTTAGGGTATGCCTCAGACCACAGTCTTCCTACCTACCTCCCGCCTATCTAGAACCAAAAGCATATGTCATTATGCCTGGCCTATTAGTTCTCTTTTTTGCCTAGGTTGGTCTCAAACCTCAGCTTTCTAAAATTTTCTTCTCTGCATTTACCAAGTCAGTATTAGGACTGATTTCTCTTCGCTGTAAGTTCTTTGCTTATTCTGGACATGTGTCTCATTTTTTTACATATATATTCTGAATCCCCCCCCCCCCCATAAGCCACTAGCTTAGTCTACTGTTGTCAAATTTATCTTTAATACTTGCTTTCTATAGAATCCCACTCATCTGAATATATGTTCTTATTTTATTTTTACATACGGACTCTCCATTGACAAGTATCTTTGGTTATTGATTTCCCCATTACCTACAAGATAGGTAATTTTATTTTTGCCTTTTTCTACCCCTTCAAGCTTTTTCTGTAATGTAAATTTATCATGTTCACATAATTTCTATCCATACTTGTCCTCATATCATGCTTCTCTTCATTAGGCTCCATCTCTTTTCCAGACATAGTCTCAAATTCTACCTTTTCCCATAAAGGCTTGCATATCATCCCAACTAAGTATGCATGTTAATGCATAGTTAATGCATAGTTTAAACCATGAATCTGTATACTGAGAGCATACTCCCAACCATGTGGAGATTCCTAAAAACAGATTTGATGGCAAGTAATTTCTAAGTCAATAAACTCTTCAGGGATCTGAGAGTCTTCAGTTAATAAAAACCAATCAACTTGATTATACTCTGTGGTCAGGGTTGGGAAACTACTGACCAAAAGTACTTGCTCTGCATTTAACATAGACCAGATTGTGTGGTTTCTTATTTTTCAGTATTTCCTTTTAATGCACACAGTTTGTATCTTGGTAGATAAAATTAAGCAAATAAAACCAGATTTATTTTCATGCCATTTTAAATTCAAAGAAAATTCCACATTTCAGGTATGACAGAAGCTTGCCATGAAAGAATGGGATTTTACATGCTATCACTAAAATGATTCTACAGATAGTTGAGCTTATTGTTTGTATGTTGAAGATGGATTTGCACTATGTTGTCCAGGCTGACCTCAAGGAGTCCTATTGCCACAGTATCTGAATAGCTGAGACTACATGTACGCAATGTTACTTTAACATTTTATTTCGTAAACATGTATGCACAATGTTCAATTTGTACCTGATGGACTACCAGTTTTCAGCAAATAGAGATAAAAAATCCTCATAATTATATATTACTATAGAATTGGCATTTTCCTTTCAGTAAAATTTAAATTTAAAACTACTATGAGAGGAGTAACTAATATGGCTTAAAAAATTTTTTTTTCATCTTAGGTTAGTTGTGGTGGCTCATGTCATAATCATAGTTACTCAGGAGGTTGAGATCTGGGGATTATGGTTCAAAGCAAGTCAGGCTGGAAAGTCTGCAAGACTCTTAATACCTACCTAAGCACTAAAAAAACCCCCAAAAAACACAAATCAAAAGGCCATTGGAAACTGCTAAGGCTCAAGAGGTAAAGCAATAGCCTTGAGTAAAAAAGCTCAGGGTCAGCTGCCAGGCCCTGAGTTCAAGCCTCCAGAGAGGTACTAAAAACAAACAAACAAACAAACCCTGTCATCTTAAAATCAATTTATGCAATATACAATGAATCTAATTATGCCAATAAAGACATCATGCTTTCTTAGAAAATATTTTGGAAAAAAATGAAATAGTTAAGCTGAAACACAAAAGAGGGTAAGATTATATAAAACAGCATGCTTGTATGTACTCCTAAAATTCTGCATATTTTAAAAACAATCACAATATTTGTAAAACCAAAAGAATACTAGAAACTTTTTAGAAGAGAATGAGTTAACTCATATGAGAAAAGGAAAATTCTCAATTGTATTTCAGAGATATTCAATAATCAGTCAGAAACTATTTGTGATAATATCTATTAACCATATAAAATCAACATAGAGGACATGAACCAATCAAAGTAACACACCATTTTCAGCCTTGACAAAAATGAAATAAAATAGTTATATGTGTATTATACAATGTATAATCTTAGCTAATATATACCTGGGTATATATATATGTATATAACATATATACATATATATGTATATACATGTATATAGGTATATATACATGTGTGTGTGTGTGTATATATATATATATATATATATATTACCAGAAAACAATGGAAGTTCTGTAGTTTGTCTAAAACAGTATCATTTCTGCTCTTGACAACAGTAGAATATATTTTAATATTAAATTGTTTTTCATTTTCTGCAGATTGTAATTTTCACTAAACATCTTATTAATAAGACACTTACTATTAAGTATTTTCTTTATAAAATACAAGTTGGTAAAAACTTTATTACAAATATGTGAAAAGTAACCAGATATTTGAAATGGAACAATTGAAATCCTAAGATACCTTCTAAACTAGTTCTTACTTTAGTATAGAAAACAATATTGAGATTTCTTTGTTGCTTTGTATGTCCCTCCCCCACGGTATAACCCCTGCTTTCATTGTATTTGATGTTGATATAATTTGTGGAGGGGAAGGGAAAAACAAATAATTTAAATAGGGATATAGGTGGACCCATTGCAACAAGGAGATGTAGAAGTCGTTATGTCAAAAAACGAACTTTACAACTTTTTTTGTGGGGGGGACGGAGGGGGGGAGATAGGAAGGGATGGGAAGAGGAAACAAAGGAGGAGGCAACAATGCTTGATAAGAAATGTACTCATTATTTTGCCCATCTAATTGTAACCCCTCTATACGGTATTTTCACAATAAGTAAATAAAAAAAATAAACAACCCCCCCCAAAAAACAATGAGATGTACAAGTCGTTATGTTGAAAAACGAACTACACAACTTTGGGGGAGGGGATAGGAAGGGGAAACAATGGAGGAAGCAACAATGCTTGATAAGAAATGTACTCAATACCTTGCCCATGTAATTGTAACCCCTCTCTGTATGGTATTTTCACAATAAAAAAAAAAGAAAAAAAAGAAAACAATCTTGAATTGTTGGCTATTTTGTCAATGACATTGTTATGATTGAAAACAGACAGACATTAAAAGAAAAAGCAAATATTCTGGCTTGGAAATTAGAAGACCTAACTTTTAATATTGCCTACAGCAATGAATATCTGGAATTTATTTTTCCTTTTTGTTGTGTAATGCATTGAAGTAGGTCATAGCAACAGATTCAGGTCTAAATTACTATGGAGGTAAAAAGTCCCAGTAATTTATTATTGAATGTCATCATTCTTGGTCAATTTTCAAGTGGCAAAACTGTCTAAAGATTAAATTCACTAGCACATTATTTACTGTGATACATAAATAACAGGAGTATGACATATATTCTGTCAAACAATATCCAAAAATTGTAATTTATTTGAATGTCTCTGAATTCTTCACCATGTTTTGAGGTTTTCAAATATTTTCTGATTCCCTATTATGTTAAAAAATAAAAAAATCAGATTACTTATACTGTGAATATACTGTCTTATTCAATAATTCTCATTAACAAATCACAATGATATACAATAGGTGGTAGAATGCTAATCGCTTCAGAAGATGGAAGCAGAATACTAATCTCTGTGGAAGCTTACTTTACTTTTAACCAATTATTTTGTATGTTAGTAGGTTACATTACAACATCATTGTTGGGTTTTTGTTTGCTCTT